ACTTGAGGGACTAAAACCAAAATAATAGCAAACTTAAAAAGCTAAAGTTTGTATTAGCCCTTGTTTAAGGTAAAATGAAGTTTTCTCTTTAGATCCTTGAATTTGTTAAAATTATTATGTTGACTATGTTATTTATATATGCTTCTATGGTTTTCATAGCAATAATTTCAAATGAATATGTGGTCTATTTCTTTGGGTTTTGGCGTTAGTTTTCAATATTAATCCTGTGTGCTTCTATGTCTCAATCAACACAACTAAGCTACTCTGAACCTTGGTAATAAATCCATTCCTAAAGTCACTTGAGTCCTGAATTAAACATGGGGTGTTATACACAGATTAGTTTTAGTATATACAAGCCTTTCATGCTTTTAAGTAATGGGCTGGAAATATGCTGACTGCCGAAGTCCTAACCAGATATAGTGGAGGTCATTTTGTCAACGTAATTGTTCTTTTCTATTTGATATAGTTGTGACCAGGGTTTAAATAAAATTGATCTATATTCAGGAAGAGGAGGATGATGAGGAAGAGGAAGACGATGAAGAAGAGGAAGAGGAAGAGGAAGAGGAATAGGATGAAGAAGAGAAAGAGGAAAAGGAAGAGGATGACGAGGTCCAACTTATAGAGAATTGTGGTTAAAAGCCGTTCTCGGATTCCATTTTTGGCAATGGATGGGAGGCTCTTTCGTTTCATGGCTCTTGTTCTATAGGACCATCCCCTACCTCACATTACATTATAGGATTCCATCTAGATTTTTGTCTTTACAATTACTCTGTTTTTGCCTTTGTTTCACCATGCTGTTTGGGTCTAAGTCTAACACTTCATTTTTGAGATGATCAAAGTTGACAGTTCCTTGATTAAAGTTACGTCATTAGTGGTTAACGCATTCAGAAAATGATTGATTTGTTACTTTTGCTGTTTATGCTTCTTTGGTTTTCAGATTTATGTCTGATCCAAAATTATGGGTGAAAATCAGTCAGTGTCTTTCTTTAATTTCTGTTTTCATTTTGTTCTTCCAAAAGGCTTTTGTCTTTAAATTTGAATATCAATTTTCATTCTTTAGTTGTTTTTTTGATATTAGCATGGATGAGAATTTACTAAGGAAGCATATTAAACAAAGACAGTCTGTGAGGTGCCAGATGAATGATCTCCTGCGAAAGTCTTGTCAGGAAATGAGCCACTCATGGAAAAATTTTCAGTGTCCCTTACGAGCTAAGTTGGCCAGACTAAGCAGTTTCAAAATCAAGAAGTCGTTACAAAGTTCTAAAGCAAGGGAAGTGCTTCCTAACCTGATTGCATGTGTGCTTCTCAGCAATCTGGGAGCATCTATAACGGAAGAAACGAAGGATACCCTTGTGGCAGAGTATGGCCAGAAGCATAAAACTGGCGGCTTACAGTCATATGCGTTCATGGCTTTAGCTGTTGGTGAAATTTTAATAATTTCAGGTATATAGTTAAAACCCATGACTTATGCAATTTTTATGCGTTTTAATCAATATTTTTCTCTCACATTTCCATATGTTTGAAATCCCATACCTGTTTTGTTGCCGACGAGAAACAATGTGGGATTGGGGGAAGGGAATTTTGTTTTTCAATGCACAGTGGAGTATGGATTGCAAGAACAGTGATGGACTCTGCATTGAGAAGTTTGAGAGAAAATCACTGAATCTCACTTCCTTTCATCTCTCTCTTCTTTTGCTTATATGTTTTGCTTTGTTCCCTTCTTCGTTCTTCCCTCTCTATGATTCTGGAAAATTTTCTTGGATTGCTTGGTCTTTTTGGTTATTTAATTTTTTATGTAAATTAATTTTTTGAATTCTTTCAATGCACATGGCTGGTTTCATTTTTTGCATGGAAGTCCGATGTTTTCCAGCTTTCCAGTATAAAAAGGGAGGGAATATGGTCCAAGAAAGAGGAAATATGAGGTAGTCAACACCAAGTATGAGTTGATGAGGTGCAGTATCAAGTACCATGTGGGAGTACCACATGGCTTTAACGGTCAAAATTAACGTTTGCTTATAGACAGGATGACATTGTTACGTTTTGACAATTTTCGGGGCGATATTACTCCTAAAAATTTTTTCAAATACCCACAGCTCCTGAACAAATACTCCGGGATAAAATTGGACTTATTCCCTTAAAATGTCCTAACTTCCCAAATATATATATATATATATATATATATATATATTGGGTAGAATCCAATGCTCTTTAGCCTCCAAGACTTTGTAAACCAATTTTGAATACAAAATACTTTGCTTGGTCCGCAACATAAGATCTAGTTGAGGGAGTAGATTTCGTCATAAATATAAGATATTAATATACTTTGTTTTCCAAATTTATAATGTTTTCTTCAAAATATTCCTATTGCTTATAAAAGATTCCACCAAGGGATAAATTCTATGTGCATAATTAATTAGGATAATTTGGAAAAGTTAACATATATTCATTACAAATAAATAATTTAATTAATCTAAATTAACAACATTATATCTTTATAACACATTTGCAATAAAGGAGGAAAATTTAATATAAAAACTAATTCACCACTGCTTACTTGATTGATTTTTCGATTTGCAATGGTATATGCCAAGTTTCTCTCATTCAGAGTTCTTAGGCAATACCAGAATGATACAAATTTTCATCTCTCTAGATTTTTAATGAAAGGGGCATTAAAGTTATTTTATAAAATTTTAAAATTCTTCTTTGGGTCATATGACCTAATTAGAAACTTGATAAATTTAACAGCTCAAATAAGAATTTGAGTTATTAAAGCGTCTTTTTAAGGGATTTTTCCTAATAATAAAGGAAAGTTAATAAATATTGGGTTAATAAATTTTTGGTTCTTTAAACTTGCCTTCATTTTAATTTTGATTTTTTAAGTTTCAAATTATGAGTTTTAGTCCTTTAAGTTTCTTTATGTCTAAAATATTAGCTTTTATAATTTAATAAAGACTTGAACCATTTTGCTTCTTAAAAGTCTAAAACATATTATTTAAAATTTGAGAAACTAAAATCAAAATAAGTGTAAATTTAATAGACCAAATTATTTTTGCCAAAATAAATAAAAATTAATATAAAAATCTTATAATTTTTCCTTATTTTTTAATTAAGTTCTTATGGCTTTGTTATTAAATCCTTGTTGTTTCTTTAATAATAAGTATTGATATTTATACTCAAAATAATTTTTTCAGCATAGTCTTCCCAACTCACTTTGAACTTCAAACTAATATCTATCAAACCAAAAACGTTAAAGTTAAAACATCCCACAAATGTGTTTCTTGAACTTGAATTTATGTTAATTTGTAAGAGAAATGGCAATGGCTCTCACCTTATCAAGATAAAGATTATATATGGATGCAAAGAGGCTGTTGTTAGCATAATAATTTTTATTTTTATCTTGATAATAGATAATAGATTAAATTTTATGCCATCATTTTATTTTCAAAAATCTTTTTCTTTTTCTTTTTTTTTGAAGAAACTGGGTAATAGGGTGCAACACAATAGGATACAATCCAATAATGATTACCATCGATATGTTTGGGTTGTTATTAACAAGATGTGCATAAATTATTTTTCATATTTAATCAGAATTATAAAAGGTCCAAAATGCCCATAAACTCTCAATTCCCAATCATCTTCCTCAACCAAAACACCAGCGTTAGTACAAAATCCAAATAAGAATCAGCATGTTTGAAAAAAAAAAATCTTAAGCAAATCATGAGCACAACGAATTAAAAGGGAAGAAATATATGAGTCAAGTTTTAAACATGGTTTCAAATCTTACAGAGGGAAAAAAAAATACAAAACCAAGATCTAAGCCATAGAAGCATGAAAATCTCATGTTTGCCACAACAAATACTGATTTGAACATTTGCAGGAAAATAGATCTAGAGGAAGACGTTCATAGAAAACAGATATGAAAGGAAGGCGTTCACAGCTTCAAATGTTGATGGCGAAGGATGAAAATGATGATAACGAAGGGAGGGAGAAAAAAGAGAAGGGCTTGTCACTGGGGAAAAAAATAGAGAGAAGGGTGGGAGAGGAAGGGAAAAAAGTGTTGATTCTGGTTGATGGGGCTAATGGTGCCGTGGGGGTGGCTGTCAATAATGAAGGTGGAGAGAGGAGACAATGAGAACAAACACAAGGGTAAATTAGGCTTTTTGGATCATGCAATAAACAGTAATGAGAATTCACAGGGGAGAAGGTATGAACGGGCATTACCAATTTTTTGGTAATAATTATTACCATTGCAAACCCAATTACTAAACTAAAGAGCAACCAAACAAATTTTTTTAGTAATGCAATTTTAATGACCATTGCAATCTTGCAATGGGATTGAACCAAACAGACGCTTAATTTTTCACGGAGGGGACAAACATTTTGTGAGTATTGTAACACCCCGAATTTTCTGATTCAGAACGAGCAGAAAAGAGAAAATTCATTAAAATTATTTAATAGCTCAATCACAATTGGGAAAAATTATGGAATATTGATTTTCAAGGTTTAGAAATATTTTGAAAAAGTTCATTCCCCAAAAAGTGGCTTAAATGATTTTAAAGCTATTTTCATAGCAAAATAGGTTATTTTCTTAGAAAATACTTAGAGGTTTCTAATTAACTAGAAAATTTTAGGGAAATTATCTTATGAGGTAGAGAAGTTATTTGAGGCATAAAATCCTTAAAATGGGTTAAGGATTAATTTCTGGATTTAAGGGCTATTTTCTTCCAAAATTCAAGAAAAATAGGTAGGAGATGATTTTTGACCCGAATTTTTTATAGATATTATTTCATGGGTCAAAGAAGCTAATGGATAAGAAAGATCCATATAAAACATGGGGGAAATAGAGAAACGGATGAAATTGGAACAAGGGGAGGAAATGAAGGGGCATAGCGGTCATTGAGCTACACCGTTTCCCTCTCACGTGCCACTTCCCTTTTAACCATCAGATCAGTTATCCACCTCCTTCAATTCATTTCTGCTTTCTGTAGGGAATAGAGAGAGAGCGCAAGGAGAGTTAAGAGACACAGAGACGGCGATGGAGGAGGACGAAGGCAAAGGTCATGATCGGAGGTGCTTGGGTCACATGCAAACCGATTAACTTTGCAAGGTGAACCTCCTGATCAATCTTCCGTCTTTTTCTTTTCTGTGCTGCAATGGAAGAGAGAGAGAGTTGAGGTAGTGAGAGAAAGTGAAGAAACGAACAGGAGGACCGATGGGTTCGTGTCCTATAGCTAGATTGAGGTATTTGGTGCTGGTTTTTGAGCTTGCGTGTTGCCGTTGTCTGTGTTTCCTGAATTCCCGAACAGGGATGGGTTATGGTCACTGGTTTGAGATGAGAATGGGTTGATGATTATGGAGTATGGTTAATGGCTTGCATGTGAATTCCTTGCTCTGTTTTGTGTCGGCTGAAAGCAGGGGTGATAGTCGCTGGTTTAGGATGATAATGAGTTAAGTTAATGGAGTGAGTATATTGTATCGCATGTTGCTTATCTACTCTGCATGTTAAATTCGAATCATTACAGTTGTTGTTTTGGCTTTGGGTGGCGTCAGGTTCTGGGGGAATTAAATGGAAAATTTCAATATACATATAAATATATATGTATATATGAGATTGTGTGTGAAATGGGTTTGCGAAGTGATGAATTTCGAACCTAAGCTCTGTTTTAATTAAGTAGTATGGAGCTCCCTGTTTTGGCTGTATAGTGTTGGGTTTATGGTAACAAAAGTGAGGGAAGTTTAGATATTATGCACAAGAGCTTTAGATGGTGCTGTGTGTGTGTACCCACATATAACCATGCTTGCTATTCGAATTGAGATTTGTTGATGTTGGGGAAGTGTATGAGTGGTTTCGATTTATAGTACCAGAAAGAGCAAAACATGTTTTAGATAAATGTGATACATATATATAATTATGTATATGTGCGTCTCGGTCATGTTTGTAGGAACTGAATTTGTATAGTTAAATGGTTTTGGGATATGGAAGTAGAAAAATTTTAGTTTGAGGAAAATTTCCAGATTTGAAGTAGAAGCATTCAAAAGTTGACTTTGATATTGACGTAGGTATGAAATAATTTTCAGAATTAAGGAGAAGGGTCCTTGTGTGCTAAGATGGTGGTTAATGTAAGAAATTGCTAAGTAGGAGGAATGGAAGAGATTGTATTGAATTAAGGTTGCGTTTGATAGGAAGCATTGAAAATGAGAGATTGGGATTGGGATTACAATTAAAAAAATCTATTAAGAGAGTGTTTAGTATAAGAGATTGTTTGATATATGGGATTAGCCAAAGCCATATATGTTGGATTGGAGAATACTATGAGGGGAAGTGGTATTCCCCAATCCCACCTTTATGGGTTTGCCTAATCCCATATAACAAACAATTACTCATACTAAGTACTATTTTAATGATTTTTTTCAATTGCAATCTCAATCTCAATCCCTCATTTTTAATGCTTCGTACCAAACAGGACCTAAGAGTAGAGGAAATTGAATGATAAGATTATTGTTAATTATTGGAAAAGCATGTGGAAAGTTCATACATTGAAATTTTGGGGCTTGACCGAAGGATTTACGAATTGCACTTAAATATGAGAAGTAGTTGGGGTTGATTGAATATAATGAAATTTTAGGGATTTAATGATTGAGTTTTAGAATTTATTTTGAAAATTGTTTGAGAAATGTTAATCCTGAAGCTATAAATGCTTTATTGTTTGAGGTCTGCACATAGAATAAATAGTGACCGTTATAGTTGAAGACTGACTATATTAAGTTTTAAAGAATAGTCTTGAAGTCGGGAATAATTCCCAGATTATAAAAGGTTATTGGAGGAATATTAGGCCAAAGATTAAGAAGATTAATAGATGGTTTGAAATTGAAATTGCTTGGCTTGGAAATAAGATGAAATCAATTGGTCTGTCTCAGCCATGAGTGAAAATTAGTGAAGTTGGATTTTAATTAATTTTACTTCATTGGGATTGGATGATTGAGGTATGAAGGGCACCTTGTTGTCCTTAAAAGTGATATATATATATATATATATATATATATGTAAAATCTTTGATCGAGATGACCAATTACTAAGTAAAGTAACACTATGGGTTGAGATAAGGGAGGAAGCGTTCCAAAGAGAATGGTTTAAACAAGAAAAATTGTCCAGGATAACCAGCTACTACAAAAGGGTAGAGATTAAAGAAGATTTGAGATTTAAAGAGTTACTTAATTTATGAGATACAGTTGGATTAAGTATTGATCTACCTTTACCAATATGATAGGTTTATATATCTGCTCAAGCCCACCAAGAAGCAAAAAGAAAGGAGAACGGTAAGGTTTGATTTGGAGGGAAGCGGACCAGGTAGTAGTTCTTTCCTACCTTACACTTGTGTATGATTGTTGCATGTCTATTTGTGCCATATTGCTTTTCTAAAGCATGAGAACATGTAATCCTTAATTCCTTACATGGATTATTTAGCCGTGATCACGTGTAGCTGATAGACATGGGACAGTATCTGCCAATTCTTTGCACATTATTTATTCAGCTTGTCTATCTGTTATTGCGCATAAATGCTTAATTGTATTAGCTTGCAAGGTTATGTTCCACTTTGGCTTGTTTTGCATGCTTTATGTAATCTGCACATTTATTTGATGGAAATTACTATTACGAGGATTCTTTAGAATCTCATCCCCCCATTTATGATGAACAGTGAAGGCTAGTAGCTCGAAGGATAAGGAGGTTGTTTGAGAAGAAGGTGAGCTGGTTGAAGAGCAGAGATAGCTGTTATATTTTGTAAATATGTAGCAAAATATCTTAATAAGTTTATACTTATTTTATTATATATGTTATATGGGCAAGTAACTTTACTTGCTTTATGGAAATATTATTTTGTATTCTCTATAAGAAGGTGAGCACTGCCGGGTGCACGTATATACTGCAACCAAGAGCGTTGCTCTATTTTTAATGTAATATTATAAGATTGTATAGTATGAAATTATTTTTAGGTGATAATAGATTAAGTTGAAAGCAGGGTTGATTGTAAATCACTCTTTAATTATTCTAAAGGTTTGAAATTTTTGATTGATGATTTCTAATGTTGAAAGGAAAAAAAAAATTCCTTGTGTTTTTCCCAGGTTTCCAACCTGGCGTTAGTGATTCACAGACGTTAAAATGATCCTATTAGTATATATAAAAGCAAGGTGTTGCAAGTATAATGTTTATTGTTAATTACATGCGTCTTGTTGGAGATGATAAGCTACACTATAATTAAAAGACACAAGTTGGAAGACATCAAGTACAAGTTCTATTTATCCTTAAATTCCACTTTGCCGTTGGCAAAAAAAAAAAAACACATTGGCGTTTGCCCTTCAAGTTTAATTGGTAATTAAACTACTGATAAATAATTGGAAGCATAAAGATTAAAGATTTGCCCATGTGTGAAGAGACAAGCTTGAGGGATTGGGGAAAAAATACTAAAATCAATAGAGGGAAAATTGCAATTGGTGAACTTGGCAGACCAAAGCCTTAAAAAACTAGAAAAAGAAGCCGTTGAAGTCTTAGTTGTTTGTTGTGTATATTCTTATATTAGATAAATACTTGGTAATTTATAAAATGATAAAAGTTACGTCAAATTACTTATATTTTTTGGATCAAATCCATAGATGAATTTATAAGTACACATGTGTATTTTAACAAGTACATATACTTTTTCTCAAGTTCTTTTGGACTTGAAATTAATTTTTATGGAGTTGGGAGCTTCAAAGTTAAAGCCCCCTAACACGTGCGGTTCTTGAAATTCGAATTCGTATTCTCTTCCATATGAGGGTGAGACTACTTATGATCTCAACCAACAGTATTGATAAGTATATCTTTTTATTTTGCGGGAACCCTCCTATGAAAAAAATTATATTAGAGTCAAGATTATTGGCGTGACGCAATGTATTCTCAAAATTGTTTTTTTTTAATGATCCTATTTATATTTTGTATGTTATAAACTTATAATTTCACTAAGTTTTTATAAGATGTTATATAATGAATGGAATTTTGTTACTTTATTATAAACTTAAAATCCCTAAAAAAGAGCTCCGTATTCTTATTAAAATTCAACTTTATTTTTAGTTTTTCTCCCTTTACTTCGGTTATCGACATTGGATGCTGCTAAAAGGAAGAAGGGAGAATAAAATGGGACCAAACTGAATCTAATCATATCTCTTATAATCCTCCTAGAATAATCATAAAAATAAATAAAACCTATGATGACAAGAAGTTTGAAATACTACCTCCGGCCCTAATTATAAGATCCAGTTGACTAATTTGAGGAGATTAAGGAAAGAAGTTAAGTTAGTTATTTGTAATAAATATGTATTGTTTTTTCTAAAATATCCTTACTAATCAACTATATTGGCTAGGACTACAATTATTAGAAGGACTATCTTGGAAAAAATGCATACATATGAGAGACAAAGTGGATTGAAGTCTTATATTTAGGACCAAAATAAAAGTCAAACAGGGTCTTATATTAAGGACCGGAGGTAGTAGTAGCCAACGTAGTCACAGTTCCTTCAGAAAAATCCGACAAAATTGGAATGATACAAACAAAAATAGTAGTCTCACAGCTAGGTTAACAAATAAGTGATTAGGCTACTTTTGGGTTTGGATCGGAGTGTGGCGGTAGGCCTATGTATTATACTCTCCAACACAATTAAATTTGAGTTTCTGGGGTGGCTATCGCAATTTAGTGTACTCATTACTGCATTATATGCCTAAAACAGGGTTAGGCAAACCAAATGAAAGAATGCTGGATTGTTACATGTCCCCCAAACAAATGTGGAAAGCGATAAAGGCTCTTGAAAACCGTTGCAAATTCAAAAAAACCGCTGCAAATTAAGTACTTCACTATCACGTCTGGATGAAATTTGTAGCGGTTCTGACATGCGTTTGCAGTAGCTTGCCAGTTTCTGACAACCGTTGCAAAATTTTGTTGCAGGTTTGACCACGTTTGCAGCAGTTTTTTATGACTGCTACAAAGTAATTTTGCCATACCTATTTTAGGAACGGTTCTAAAAACTGCTACAAACGTATTAGTAGTGGTTAAAACCACTACAAACGCATAAAAATAACTGCTGCAAAATACTGTTTTTTTTGTAGTGATTATAAATTTTTTTATTGTCTTAATTGTATTTATTAGGTTAAAATCTTGCCTCTTAAAAAGGGGGCAAAAGCAAATTGAAGACCTAGAGTACTTGGATCAATTTAGGCAATTCGGTGGAAAAATTTCGTCCAACTTGATCTCGAGTTGAAACTCAAACTAAACTGGACAATGGGTTATCTGGTTTAGCTTAAGGTCTTTTCCAGGCTAGACTTTGGGTTGGCTAGACTTTGGGTTGATGACTAACCTGTTTGATTTTAATCTATATACAACCCTAAAATAATAATTTTAAATATTCAAGGTTGTTGGAAACTAAAAGAGATTTATAAATTTTGTGCTAAGGCACAATTTCCTTCTTCATTCTTCCAAAAAAAAATTTGTTGGGCTTAATTGTCATGAACTCTCTTTCCTAATACCAAAATGTCATTTTTGGAATACAACTAACCAAACCAAATACTGCAGCTTCTTCTAACTAGGAGATGCAGCAATAGAAGCAAAATCCCAACAATAGTTTCTTCTTTCGATTAAAAAAAAAAAAGTTTCATCATGTATGGAGTAAATTATTATTTTTTAAAGTCGCAATTGATTAAGCAAAGAAGAAAAGCAACACAAAGTTCTGAAGGATGACGATAACTGATTAGACTTTGTATTAGGTGACTACATTACATAAGGTATTGCACACCAATTTGCAGACCTAAAGGAAGGTGCAGGACGTTTATACATATTATTTTGATGCGTAAGAGTAAATTAGTTTGTGTGTTGGCGGAAAAAAAAACAAAGAAAGTTTTTGAACAAAATTGATTAGAACACATAATTGGGATGTTTAATCTTTGAATGAGTTAATCACAAATTTTGTGTGATATGAGAAAATTGGATGACTACGATTTTATTAGTACGGTATTAAAAAGATCAAATCACATTATCACCATATGAAAAGAGTGCAATTTCATTGTGTAATTGAAAAAAAAATTAAATTTTCCCCAAAAAATGTAATTTTTTATGAAATTGAGTTTTTATTGACAAATAACCAACTCACGGATAAGGAATAAGCGGTTGAAATTAGTTTAAAGTAATAAATATATTAAAAATACAGTTTGTTTTTAAATATGTTTTTATAATAAATAAAAAAAATAAAAAGAATGAATGAGAAGATGTTAAAGGAGGATATGACAAAAGAAAAGAATAAATAATTAAGAACAAAATTAAAAAAATATATTAAATAGTTAGACAAACTTTAAAATGAAGCTTATAAAATAAATCACAGCTCTCTTCAAACATGAAATTTATAAATAAGATCAGAAAGAGTATTATAAAATTTCTAGTCATAATGATTAACAATAAATATTTAAAAATTTTCTTTTTTTTTCCTCAGTGAAAATTATTGAAAAAGTTGACTTGCTCATCAACATTATATTGAGCTTTATCAATCACATAGCAGGAAATTCCGACTCTTCCTCATAATTTTCATTTTTTAAAGTAAATTTCTCATGATATATTTTGTTGTTTTCTAGGACATAGTTTAGATTTCTTTTGCTTTAATATTTTGTAAACTTTAAAAACTTGGAAAAATTATAAAAAAGGATTTTAGAAATTAAAAAATTGGGTACAAGGACCCATTCACAAAATCATTATTATTTTTTTATCTATTATTGTCAAAACCAAGATTAATATTGTAATAGGTCCTTATTTATATTTTTTTTTGAAGGTTTTTTTTCCAATATTTCTTTAAAGCTTTATGTGTGCATATAATATATATGTGTGTGTATTCCTGCAGTTCTAAATATGATCCTATATATAAGACCTATTTTTTAATGTAATTTAAATTATAAAATGAATCTTATATTTAAAATCAAATGGAGTAAATTATATCATTTTGCCTTTTATAAAAAAAAAATTAAAAAGAGTAAAGCCCATAGACCAATTCATCGTCTTCCCCTCAGTTGGGCGGGAATCAGTAACCGGAAGGAGAAGGAGCATAGAAAAACCATTGACACAGAGAGAGGTAGACGATCCAATGGCTGTGGACACGAATCTCGCGGTTTTGTTCGACAATTTGAAGGTGGAAGATCCGTTGATCCCTCCAAAGACTTGGGAATCTATCCCTTCTGAAAGTGGGCTTCACTCTCATTCCGATGCTTCAACTTCCTCTTCGAATCAACCTCTCTATGACCTCTCCACTGTCTCTGTAAGTTTACTCCACCGACTCGCTCAACTGACATTGCAACTTTTGTGGGGTTTCCTTCCTCTCGGAAAGAATCATTTTGAGGGTCACTGGGTCTTGAAAGTGTGAGAAATTTAGTCTAGCATGCTGCATTTTTTCCTCCAATTCCAGCAGCTTGTGTAAGAACCTATGTCATGTACATCTGTGGGCATCCTGACTCAGTTAAGAGCCAAGCTGGGCTTCGTAACTCTTAAGAAGTACCTGAATTTTTTAATAGTCAGATGGCAAGCAACTTGGTTTGCGTGGCTAGGTTTACATTGCACTTTCAAAGTAGATAAAGGTAGTAGAAAATGTCAGTCATTAATTTGGTTAGTTGTGTTACACCGAAACAATATGGTGAATGTTCAATGCCCATTAAGCCTTGGCCACTGGGAAATTGTGGCTCTTTGGTGCAGAGCTAGCAAATTGACTTGTAATCCAAATACTCTTTGTGAAAGGTTTAGACTACCTTGTCACTCGG